GTTTAGGGTTTAGGGTTCCGTGTTTGTCATTGCGGGTTTTGGTTTCAAGGTTTAGATTTTAGGGTTTACTGCTTTACGCGTTATGCTTGTGTTGGGACCACAGGGCTTGAAGGGTGTAGGGTTTAGGGTTTAGGGGTTTAGGCTTTAGGGTTTAGGGGTTTAGGGTTTAGGATTGTAGAACTTAGTTTCGCAGCCCAGGGGCCTTTATCGAATCCAACATGCATACAAACTAGTATGACACCGAAATGCATCCCTTTGGTCAAAAGGTTTCTTTTTTGACCCTGAGCCCTGAGCCAGTTCTATGCTCAAAGCGGTCGGGAGAAGAGCGATAAAGCAAGCCAGAACGACTGAAGAACCTTTAACGGTTTAGGTTTAGGGTTTAGAGTTTAGGGTTTAGGGTTTAGAACATGAAAGTTGAAGTTTAAACAAACCTAGAAGGCCACTTTGAAGCCGGACACGCTGACGATGAACTCGGTCCTGACCTGTTGCGACGCTTGGCAAGGTCTCAAGACCACAGGCGTGGGGCTGCGGGAAGCGACGACGGAACACTGCCCTTAAGCATAGTTCGGGGTTCGGCCCTAAACCCTAAACCGTCCATGAAGCCCTTAGCCCTGAACCCCAAAACTCCCTAAACCACAAACCGACTCGCGAACCAGCTTGCCTCCCGCAAACCTCTGCAAACCCGGATAAGGTCCCGGGGCTCCAGTTGCCTAAACAATTGGTTACTACTACGGGGTTACAGACTAGAATATGGAATCTATTTTTTTAAATAACTGGAGCCCCAACTCCCTAGGGGCTTCCCAAAGTCGGACCATGAGGCTTCAGTTCTAAACCCTAAATCCTACACCCTGAACTCTGAACCGTACAAGATGGGTTTTGGTGGTGCAGGAACGGTTTAGAGTGTGGGGTTTAGGGTTTGGGGACACCAAATCGCTGCTGGAGCAGAAAACAGGCTTGAGGGGGTTTAGGGGTCATACTCCCACGCCGAACCCCTGAGTACAACTCAAAATGCTTGTAATGCTTGGTACAACTCAAAACAAAACTGCGCTACCTAACTTTGCGAGTTTCAGATTTTTGGGCGGGAATCCCAGCTCAAGATGTGCCCAACAGAGTAGCATCCATATAAAGACTCGCAGGTTCGTGGCTCCTGGTCTTAAACCCCCATGTGACCACACTGAGGAGAAGTCTGAACGGTGGCAGGAGGGCTTCAAGATTTTGGAGCAGTTCTCAGCCCTCTGCCAGCAAGAGGTGACCCGAAGCCCAAAATCCGAAACCCCAACCCTAAACCCCGAAACCTCAATCCTAAACCCGAAACCCGAAGCCCCAAACGCTAGAACCTAAGCCGGGTTTCAGGGTTTTTCGGGTTCGGAGTTTCTGTCTTTTGGGGTTGGGCCTAGGAGCCTCGAGTACAGCCCGAGTGCATGAATCGGCTTCGGCGAAGGAACTGCGTCTTCCCGTCGAGAGCACTACGCTAACGGCCTCTGCGGCGACTTTAGCCGCAGGCTCCTTCTGGCAGGCCTCCCAGCGCTTCTGACGGTGATATTTTTAGAGGGTCCTAAGTACCTATATAGTATAGAATGTAGGGTTTCTATAATACATATTACCATTATGAATTGGGGAAGTATCCCCCATAACAGTACCTAGGACCCTTTGGGAGTGGCCCCAGGGGTTAGCAGAAGGGTCCTTTCCAGCATCAGCCAAGCTTTGGGCTTAGATTTAGGGTTTAGGGTTTAGGGTTTAGGCAGGACCATGCTTAACCCTAACCCCTCAGGTACCTACTATATAGGGTACTAGAGCCCCTAGGGCCCTACATAGTAGGTACCTGGAGGGTTAGGGTAACACAGCTACCGGAATTCCCTTCATTTCGATACGGAAGGGCGCATGCAGGGTAACACAGCTACCGGAATTCCTTTCATTTCGATATGGAAGGGCGCATGCAGATTCCTTTGCACCGGCCATATCAGGCGTCGCTGTTGGGCCTGCCTCTCGGCACACAAGAGACTTTAATTTTTGGCTGGCAGGATTTAGGGTTTAGGTTTAGGGGGTAGGGCGTCGGGTTCTATTTTTTGTTGTTGCAATCAACCTAAACTCCCAGAAACCTGAAACCCTAAACCTCAATGCACCCAAAACCCTAAACCCTAAAGCCCTAACCCTGAAGCCCTAAACTCTCCTCCTCAAGTTGTAAGTAAATCCAGACCCGGAGAACGCGGACCCCGATTGCTTCAGAGGACGGTGGATCGAGGGTTTAGGGTTTAGGGTTTAGGGATCCTGTGTTTAGATGCCCTTCTTCTGAATTCAACGACACCGTATCCTACACAGCATCTCAGCAGTAAGGTACACTGTGTGAACCCAAACCCGAAACCCTAAACCCTAAACCCTAAACCCTCAACCGAAATCCTTGCTTTAACCCCTGGAGACAAAGGTCTATTTTCGGAATCGAGGGCTCCGGATTGGAGACACAGCCGAGCACACTTTGCTTGGATACTCGGCATGCAGGTGGAACAGTACTGGCCGTGCTTTTTTGGGCGGAGGGTTTCTACGGGTCTTTTGGCGGTTCAGAGGTTGAACATTCATCAACCCTAAACCCTAAACCCTAAACCCTAAACCGTGAATCGTGATCTGCCGGCATCCGTTTCGAACAGCCGCCTTATGGTTCAAGCTCGCTCTCTCGCTCTCTCTTGTTCTTTGCCTCTCGGCAGTAGTTCAACGGTATTGTAGCATGATACTGCTTATCTCGGCCCATCTCGGCATCTCTTTGTCGGGGATCGCTACATTCCTGTAGGTGGTATGCATAGTACTATGGCTAGGCAGGTAGACAGGCGATTGGATGGGCGGATAGACAGGCAGACAGACAGATAGATGGGTAGGTGGACCGGCAGGCACATATGCGAAGTGATCCGCTAAGCACACAAGGACAAGCAGACAAAACCCTGAAGCCTCATACCTAGGCCGCGGCCCATAGGGTTTAGGGTTTAGGGTTTAGGGTCAAACCGTAAACGTGGCCCAAGCCCCAAGGAAGTGGGGACTGCCGCCTGTGAGTCACGCCGACAGTTCCGGCAAGCTGTGTGCCTTGCCGTCATTACGCTTTTGGGGCTTTACAGTCCCAAGCCCTAAGGGTCCATGTACCCAAATAGTGTATACATTGGCCTTAATGTAGTCCCATATAGGTACTTTAGGGCCAATGTATATACTATTCAGGTACATGGACCCTCTGGGAAAGGGCTCCAAGTACCTATGTGTAGGGTTTCTTCTTTAGGAATTACTCTTATTGTTTTGGCTAAAATGGCACGATGGAGACGCGGATGCGGAAACGGTGAGCATGATGAGTACATTGTGGATGTTGGTGGCTGTTGTTTACCGTTATGCGGTCGACATTATTTACTTGTGACTTGTGCTGCCCATATAATGTTCACCACATGTACGGTGGCTGCTGCAACAGCTACTTGCACTTCGGTTTCCCCTCCGGCCCTTCTTGTCCTTGCTGCTATTCTTTGCATCGCTCTTGCTAATGTTCTGATGTCAGCAATGCCAGCTACAAGCATGATTGCTGGCAGCAGGACGGATCGCTCTTGCCGTTTCCGATGGTGTCTTACGGGCACTACCTCGGTATTGGTGAATTGATTGCACTCTCAGCATTTGCTGTTATCTCTACAGCTGTTGCCTTCTAGTCTTTGGTGCCAACTCTTCTTTCGAATGTTGCTCTTCTTCTGACCATTATTCTGCGTCGGCTTCTTCATCTTCTCTTCTTCTCCTTCGGCTGCTATTACGCACAGTGCCACCATGCCACGATTGTTGCGACTATTTCACGTGTCGCTCCTTTTCTGCTTGCGGCTGTCACCAATACATCTGTGATCGTTAGTCAAGTGTTTCTGCTGTTGCCCTTGAACCTTCATTGTTGCTCTCGTGTGGACATCCTACATGTGAAAGAAAAACCCTCAAGCGGAATCGAACGTCCCAGGTTTTAAACACTTCTGGCCCGAACAAACCCGAAACTTCTCAACCCTAAAACCGTTTCCGATGGTTCTGCGGCTTGGGCCCAGCAACCGTCGGCCAAGCACTAGAAGCCCCAAACCGAAGTAATCGTTTAAACCAAGGCATAAACCCGTGCGTCAACCCTGAAATCCCAAAGCCTGAAGACTCCCCCAAGCCCAAACCTAAACCCCCAAACCGCAAGATACTGAATGCTGCACCCCAAACCCTAAACCCTAAACCCTAAACCCTAAACCCCAAACCCTAAACCCTGTTCCTCAAGCCCCAACCCCAAACCCAAAACCCTAAACCCTAAACTTGAACCCCGAAGCCTCAAACCCTAAACCCTAAAAGGAATCTCTATGATAGCCCCGTAAGGTTTCTTATGGTAGGCCGCCCCTACGGTTGATGATAGAAATCCTGCATTACTTATAATGAGGGATTGACCATAAACTCCGTTCAGGGGCCTTGGTAATGCAGGATTTATATCATCAGCAGTCCTAGGTTACTACCTTAAATCCTAAACCCTAAACCGTTACTAACCATCTACTATCTAAAACCGCAACCCATTCAGTTGGGTCATTGAAGCGCGAGGGTTCCCTTAGAAGTTCGGGGTTTGGAGTGTAGGGGTTTAGGGTTTAGGNNGGTTTAGGGTTTCGGGTTCCTGAAACTGAGGTATCTACTGGAGCTTTCACAGCAAACGGCTTCCAGTGGGCTAGAGTCCGAAACAAGTCGCGCGCTTTTGTTTGCGGTTTCACGTGGTTCTGCATGGGTTACTTGGGCTTGACTACGTTGAGAATCGAAAAGGAGGGGGGGTTCTTAGCCAACTGTTTTGCATGGAGCTTTAGTACGTTCAGAGTATGAATGGACATGAGCATCAAGTTTGAGTCTTAGGTTCAAGGCTGCGGACTAGGGTTTAGTTTAGGGTTCAGGAGT